TTTTTATTTTTTATTTTTGTTTGAATTTCTTCTTCTTAAAGGAGGCCCAGCTAAAACCACAATGGTCCAAACCATAAGCCCCAAAATTACACTCTAGAAATCAAATAAAACCCACAACAATCCAAAATAAAATAGTTAACTGAAACTCTAAAACCCAAGTGTAATAATTCAAAGGAAAGTAGAATTTACGAAGAAAAATCCTAAAACCCCTGAATTTAAGATTTAACTAAAAATCTCCTACACAGGTCGAGAACTTAAATTATCTTAATCCAATAAAATTAAACTTAATTCCAATTTAGCCAAAAATTAGAATTCCAAAGTTAGAAGATCCAAGAATTAAAGTTATCAACTTAGGGAAAAATCCAAGGACACCATTTATCCAAAAATAAACGAGTCCGAGAACGCGGGGCGTTACATTAACATCATCCTTGATGAACGATCTAATCCTCTATAAAATTGTTCAATCTGCACACATGCGGGCAATCTATGGCTCGAGCATCTCATAAGTAACTCCTTAAAACGCTCCTAAGCTTTTCGAACTGCTTTGTTCTCTTTCTGTCTAAAAGACACAATGTCCTCTCGAAGATCTGCGTTCCTGGTCAAAGTGTGGTACTTTGCCAAAAATTTCTCCGTCAGTTGCGCCCATGTGTTGATAAAATTTGGTTCTAGTGCGTTTAGCCAAGTCCTTGCACCATCCCTGAGAGAAAAATGAAACATTTTTAATCTTACTGCATCCTTAGAGGCACTAGGAAGTTGAAATGCATTAGCTATTTCAATAAAGGATTTGAGATGGGAGTAAGGATCTTCATTAGTCAATCTTCCGAACTAGCCCATCGTCTGTAACATCTGGAACATGACTGGCTTGAGCTCGAACTGTGTGGCTTGGGGTAAAGGATTATTTATCCCTGAATTTAGGTTGTGGAACGCATGAGTGACATAATTCCACATGGCTACATCTCGATTATCTGTTAGAAGGATCGGATTAGGAATTTCTCCTGCTCGGTTTGCTGCTCCTTCACCTGTCATATCTCCATTCACAGGTGGATTTTGTGGCGGTGGAGGATCTTGTGGATTTCTATTCATCTCGATGGTCTCTTCTTCAATTTCTACTTCTTTCTCTCTTTGATTTTCATGATCTTTTCTCAACCTCTGCTCACGCATTATCCTTTTAAGGGTTCTTTCAATCTCTGGATCAAAGGTCAACCAACAGACCCTGTGCTCATATACAACTCCCTTAAATGTTAGATATAACAATTAAGTCCAATGACAGAGGTATGCAACAATCATACAATGAAACAATTCACTTGAAAAGATTGTGATTTGAAAACTTAAGTCCCCGGCAACGGCGCCAAAAACTTGTTGGGACTTTCTCTACCTTTAAAAAGATTAGAGACTTGTGCAAGCGCATACGGTCACAAGTAATACTCAAAAGTAATCCAAGGTCGAATCCTTAGGGATTTATTGCTTTTCAAAATCAAGTAATGCAGTGAAATGGTTCAAATATGCAATTGTGATTTTGGAAGAAAAATAGTGGTGAAATGTTGTTGTTTGGGGTTTTAACTAACAAGCAATTTAATGAAACTCAATCTCCTTGTCTCCTACCTTGGTTTTGATGCAAAACATAGAAAACACACTATGTTGGGAAAATGGGCACAATTCCTGGCTTTTCTTGGGATTTGAATTCTACTCTTTCACTACTGCTTTTGGTTGTTGTAGAGGCTAGGGTAACCTACAATCATATTCCTATGTGTGATTACAATCCTAGAGAATATCTACAACTCATTTGCATTATGGGTCAGAGGGTCTATGCATAGGACCATGTTTTATGCGCTTATTTCTAAGTCACATCCCATATTGGTTTCCTATTATTTTACCTAACTCACCTTTCCCAAGGTTGGGCTTTGGTGTATAAATCAAGTTCCCACTGGCCAAATGGAAAAAAGACGTAAAGAAAAGTTTTTAGAAACCAACCCAAAAAAGTGTCAGGCGCAATCTGGCCAAAATCCCGAGCGTGTTGAAAATCAAATCATTTCACTAAGGCATTCCACAAGGAGGTTGATAACTAATTTAGAACATAATTAAATGAAAGTAAATGCACGAAACATAAAGGAAGTATTTTTCATTGAATTTAAATGAATAAATAAGTCGTACAAGGAGTTTTATCTTGATCCTCTTCTCTCTCGAGCATGAGGGGAGTTGCAACTCGCTAAAGAACTTTAAAATAACAGAATGAATAAAGAACGGAAGTAAGAACTCGAATTAAAAGCACTACGAAAGGTAAAAGCTTGAAAAACGAAGAAATGAACAACTAGAACATGAACATAAACCCTAAAAACATGTTCTAACACTAGATAACATCTAAAAGAAGATGAAATGAAGCTTGGAAGGGATGATTTGCTGATGGAGAGATGACTTTCTTTATAGCACCATAGGTTGGTTGAAACTCCCCTCCATTTTAGGTGGAAAAGGGTTGAGATTCACCTAACCGCCTCACTTGGACTTGGACTCACGGTTTTGAACGTGTGGGAAATATCCTCATTGCCCTTCATTAATAAAAAAACCTGTATTTTGACAAATTGCCCTCCAAAAAGGCGCCGAGCGCAATTCTGCAAAAACATAATTCTGTTATTTGATTTGTGACGGGAGGCAGGAAACTCCGTCTATACCACAGCTTGAGACGAGACCCGGGAGGCAGCGAGCGTAGTTTACGGAGCGGGAGTCATAGTTCCAATAGCGAAGGAATTAGAACTATTGGCGGCCGCGAAGGATACGGAGCGAGACTGACCTAGTGAGGGATATCGGGGTTAGTAGTCAATCATGAGGACGTTTGTCCCCGGCATAAGCCATTTGAAGGCTATCCGAAGTATATAACTTAAGATAAAGTTAAGATAAAGGGCCTTGAAGAAAAGTCCAGATTGACTCACTAACTTACGAACGTTCTTTGCGAACAAGTAGTCCCCAATGCAATGTTCCTTGTTAAGACCTTCAAGGAATCTATGTATCTTCTACTTTAAGAATATTTGGTCCTTTTTGGCAAATAATAATGGGAAATGGGCCAAAAACGTGGTCAAACAAGGCTACCGACACATGTTTCTACAGTAAAAAGTCAATCCTAACACTTGACAATCTCACCTCTGATCGACCACGTGCAAGTTAGAAGGGTGCTGGTAGATGGTAGCACCTTAGCTAACATCCTATCTGTAACGCCCAAGGATTTTTAACATCCCAACTGGGACCATTACTAAAAGCCACCTAAAACGTCCCACTCGTACTAGAGACTTTAAACCACTAGACGTATAAACTATGACCAACTTTCACCACGCTTCTGCTGCGCTACTCTGCTAAATAACAACTTACAAAAATTTGCACTAAACAACCCAAACACCACTAACGTTCTAACGAAACTCAAATCCTTCACAGTTAATAATTTATAACAAACTAACCTTATAAAACTTCTCAATGAAAACTTCACTAATCATAAACCATCCACTACACGAATCTAACTTTCACAAAAACAGCGAAGAAAAAGATAACTCAAGTTCAACTTGAACAAATGCATTATACTGATAAATATCCTCAACGTTTTACATCACCACAAGTCAAGTAGCTAAACAAAACTACGGTTCTCAAGAAAACGAGCCATCAATCCTAGGACATCCCCTAAATATGGGACTTCACAACACTTTATTCATCTAAGAACATACTTAAGCCAAAAACAAACAACTATAGCTATCCTATTCAACTTGAAACTTAACGACACAAAGTCAAATGGTCTCTCTAATCATCTCCTCCTCGCCATCACCATCCTAAGAGCCAGCTCGATACCTGCAAACTGGAGGGGAAAAAGAGGGATGAGTACAACCACAGTACTCAGTAAGCAACCCTTATCGAAGGGTCATGCACAAACAGCATGCTTATCAAGGAAACAACGTGTCATGCTTATCAAAGAATCAATATATCATGCTTATCATAACACTCGAGCTTTGAACGAATAGAAACATATCACAAGAAGCAGTTTATGCAAATGTTTAACTAAACCTGTACCGTACATGTCAAACTCATCTTTACATATTAACTCTCTAGTTCTCTTTCTTGATTCCTCCAAGGCTTACTCCTTCGAGTCGTACCGACCCTTGACCTCGCGCAGCTAAGGCATCGACACTCCTCTCCGGTGCACGGTGTTGGACCTTGACATTTATCCCCAATGCCTCCGCTACTACTCAACGTAATGGTCCTTGGCCTCCAAGCAAGTCCTAACCAATCACACAATGTTAGTCCTCCAAGTCTAACTCCTCGAATCGCATCGGCCCTTGCCATTTATCCCCAAAGCCCGACACTCATCTACAAAGGCTTGGCGTTTGACCTTGCCATTTATCCCCAAGGTCTTGAACTGGCATCGACCCTTAACATTTATCCCCAAGGTATCGACGACTACTCAACGTATTGGTCCTTGACCGCCACCACATCAAGACCC